CTCCTACGTGCTGCCTTCCCCATTAATCTTAGCACGAGCCTCGGCGGGTCTGCTCGTGTCCATAAAGCCTGTCCCAAACCACGGGGGTGCTAAGGAAGGAGAGGACCCGGGGCCGCAGGCGCCCAAAGCAGCGAGGTGTTGTTGGTCTTATTTTCATGCGTCTCCATCTAAATTTAAACCTCAGACATCATATTACCTCGTTATTTTTAGAGCTAAGATTACTCAGTGCAGTTTAATGCCTGGCCTTGCCCACACCGATACTGTTTATTCCATCCCACAGCCCTCCTTCTCCCGAGGAAAACAAGCGAGCGTCAGCCCCGGTACCGGTTAGACAGGGAAAGCAGCGGAGCCGGCGCTGGAAGGGCCGGACCGCGAAGCCTGGAGGCACCGCGGAGCCGCAGCGTACCCAGCTCGTGCGGAAACTCCTCGCAGAGGATGGCCACGGAGGTGCTGATGCCTTGGAAGACGGAGACGGTGAAGGAGGCGCCGATGGCCAGCCCGTCGATGAAGTTGTGGAGGCCGTCGCTGAGGGTGACCATCCACGCGAGCGTGCCGATGTCGGAGTAGCGCACCTCCTTGAGCCAGTAGCACGCGCTCTGCGCGGCCTGCGGCTCCTGCGAGACCACGGGACACTCGGTGCTGCCCAGCCACGAACCCCGCGGCTCTACCCCCCAAAAAACTCTGCCAAAAAACTCTCCAAAAAGCTCTGCCAAAAACCCCCAGCCAAGGAGGTTGTTTGAACCCAACAGACACCCGGGTGGATTAAATCCGCACCAGGCTGGAATTGAGGGATTTCCTGAGCCAACCGGGCAGGATTTGCCCTGCCCATGGTGGAGCGTGCTGGGTGGGTGCGATACTTGAAACCACTTTCTCGTTTTCGGGCTAACCTGGACGGACAGGGAGCCCACGACGACCTTCTGGTCCCCCGCGGGGGTCTCGGCGCTGCGCGCGGGGATCATGCGGTCCAGGTCCCCGTTCTGCAGCTTCTCAGTGACGCCCTCCTCCTGGTCCTTCTTGGAGGGCAGGGCCTCGGGGCTGTAGTGGCTGGGGCCGTGGTGATGCTGTTGGCACACGGGGGCAGCGGGCTCAGCCACGGGGGCCGCCACTGCCATTGCCCACCCAAACGCCTCAAATTTGCTGCTAAAAAGCAAGCGGGTTCCTCCCAAACCTAAGAAAACCGCTGCTTGGCAGGCAGGGACCTTTCTTCGGGCCGACGACAGAGGGCAAAGGTGGCACGGGAGCCTCCAGCCTTCATCCCAGCCTTCATCCCAGCACACTGGGGCAGGACATTGACACGGCGCCCCAGGCAGTCCCTCCTCATCCTCACCTGGTCCTTCTGTTTCAGCAGCATCTTCAGGATCTTCTCAGTGAAAAAGAACAGGTAGAAGCCCCCGAACACCACAGCTGACTTGGAAACGTAGTCTTTTTCCTGAGGGTTGAATCCGAAGGCCTGCGGACACGGGGAGCAAGCGATGGGCAGGCGGAACAGCCCCCAGCAGCATCTTCCATATCCCTGGGCCGCGGCACCTCTGGGGCGAAACTGCTGCTCCTGGCCTCCCTCCAAGCAGCGGCTGCTTCGGGGAAGGCGCAGAAATACCTGCGTGCACCTAAACCCACCAAAATCCCCCAGGCAAGCAGCCTGTGCATCAGATCCGTCGATCCGGATGCTAAAAACAGGCTCCGAAAGCCGCTGCCATCTCAACACGAAGGCTACCGGCCCGCAGGGCCACAAGCCGCAGCCAAGCAGCGCCCGCGAGTCCCTTGGGAAGCAAAGGGCTGTAAGGGCTGCGAAATTCCAGCTCACGGTCCCGAGGGGCTTCCAGCCTCCCTACCTCGCTCTCCGTGGCGCGCGGCTGCCCTCCGGCTGCGCGGGCTCCCCCTGCTCCAGCGAGCGCCCGGCGCGACAACCGGCCCCCGAGAGAGAAAAGGAGCGACCCGGAGGCCCTCACCGTACCTCGGGAATGAGCTGGAAGAGGGCGTTGGAGTAGAGAGTTCCAATCGCCAGAGCTATGAAGTAGAGGAGCAGCCGCTTGTAAAAGGTCTTCTTCATGAAGGGCACCACGCTGGCCCCCACCAGGGAGCAGAGGGAGATGACGGTGACGCAGAGGAAACCGTAACCCCAGACTGCGGCGGGAGCCAAACCCACCCCGGGGGATCGGGCGAGGGGTTGTCGGAGAGGAAGGGGGAAGATCAACGTGGGGAAGGGGAGGAAAGGAGTCCACGGCGAGAGGGGAGAGACAGGAGGGAGAGGGGGGAGAGAAGAGGACATTCATTAGTGATTGCTCCTTCATCGGGCAGTGCTTGCGCGCGGGGCAGCGCGGCTCTGGAACAAGCGCTCCGGCCCTTCGGCATGGACGGGAATCCCACAGTCCAGCCGGGATGCAGCGGATGGGAGGGAGTCCCCGTCCGGCAGCACCGTCCTGCGGGCCATGGGGTTGTTCCAGAGCCACGGAGCCCGCGGGCCCCGAGCATCCTGCACGCTCCATCCTCATCCCTGCGGAGCCCTCCGGGCATTTCCAAGTGGCTCGCTGCAGGATGGAGCGTGCAGGTGGCATCCAGCCCCTGGCACGCCAGGGAACGCAGGGGCTGCCTTCTGCTGCTCGGGAAACAAGGGTTGCAGTTCTGGAGTTGAAAAGGAGCCGGGAAAACCCGGGATGGCGCCTCCGGCTGCTCGCGAGCACGGCTGCGCATCCAGACCCCCTTGCGTGCAGTTGGTCAACTCCAGAGCCGCGCAATTAAAACACAATTAATTTGCAATGTATCCGTCAGACCCGTCGGAGCACCAGGAAACCTCGAGCCTCACGTAAGCACAAATGCTTCTGGGAACAGCTGTCTTGCAAGTCAGCAAAAAAAGGAATCGACGAAGCAATTAAAAGTTTTAGCGGAGCCTGCGGATTGCGGAGGAAGCACCGTTTCTCCGGGCTGCTCTCTGCACTTCTACACTCTGACCCCTTCCTCTTTTGCACGGACCTTCCCACGCTGCTCGTGCTGGTGGCCGCGTGGCTACCGGGGCTGGATGGGACGTCCCGGATGGGACGGCACAGCCGCCCGGCGCGACTCAAGAGCGTTTTCTGGTGCTCGGAGGGGCGCGAAAGCCCTGCAGAGCCCTGCGCAGGGAGCCAGCGTGGAGAGAGATCCCCTGAGCCTCAGGTCCCGGAGAGATCGGATGGATTTGGCAGGGTGGAGGCAGGGAAGAGCCGCCCTCGGGACAGGAGAGAGGCAGGGACGATCTACCGCACCTCTGGGATGAGCTGGAAGAGCGCGTTAGAGAGCAGCGTGCCGATGGAGAGCGCGATGAAAAACGTGAGGACCCGGCTGAAAAAGGCCTTCTGGGTGCAGGGCACGATGAAGACTCCGAGCAGGGAGGCCACGTTAATCATGGACACACTGAGAAAACCAAAGCCCCACACTGCGGAACGAGAAGAAACGAGGGCCAGAC